AACCCTGTGCAGAGGCATTCATCCCCGAGTCGGAGAATGGCTTCAAGGTGGCAGGGCTTTCAGGGTTTAATGTCTTGGGGATACCGTGCTTTAGGGATTGAGGCTGCAAGCTTGTCACAATCTTGGCACTCGCCCTCGCACCATCCACGCAAGGTGTACAGGGGACTTTGCTGCGACTGTCTGTCAGTGAGAGCACTGAAGACTACGGAGGGTGGCTTTTTCAATACCTGGAGGGTGGCCAGACTACCAAGGCCACGGAGGTAGTATAAACTATGTGTTTAGATGTTTGAAATCTGCAAGTGCGAAACGGTCACCATACATGCCGTGGTAGTCGTAGGGGCTTAGCAGGGCTCGCCGAACCCAGCAACAAGCAACTTCTGCCTGCCCATACTGTCCCTAAGCTTAAGATACCTACGCCCTAGCTTGTTCCGGGAGATTTAGGGTTTCATCTCGGGTGTCCAAAAAATTAACAGAAGGGACCCAGGGCTTCGGGATTGCAGTCCCCTGCTCAAAAGACATGTTGGGCAAGTTTCTTAAGATTATGAGGGTGCTTCATGTTAGGAACAACGGTTGTACTACTCAGGCTTCTACCAGCTGTCCCTTTCCTCTATCGGTGCATATCGACCAAGGTGGGTGCTTGCAAGACGCGCGTTTCGTACAAGTCCCGGGACGTTCTCCTGATTGGGACACGCTGCCTCAATGGGAAATGCAAGGCCCTAACCTAGACCCAGGAATTCTATTCATATACATGTCGAACTCCAAGAGAACATTTTTTGGATTTAAGCTCGCCGGCAGCCTGTTCAATGTCCTCGTGTTCCTAAACACGTGTTGTCTAGAGGTCTCGCCTACACCCGTGCTGTCATGTGGGCGATGTCTGATGTTTGACGCTGAGGACAGACACAGGCGCAGAAGATGATATGACAGATTCGGGCTATCCCCGACAAGTGCGTGAATGGAAGCGTGGTGTTCCTTTGAAGGATGCGCCTCTGGTCTATGAAGCTGAGAAAAAGGACATTTCTTCCTTCGCCGGTCGCTACTATGACAGAGGATTTTTTCACGAGATGCGAGGGCGAGCTATTACATTCTGGACTTCGGAATATTTCTGGCTGCATCAAGGCGAATGGAAGAAGGCGCGGGCTCTACTCAACCCAGCACGAAACCTTCATGCGAACGTCTTAATAGCGGTTCTCCGGACGTAAACCTGCGTGCCCTATAACAAATAACGATGCCCGAACTGGCATTGCTTCATTAGCCACCATCATCACCACAGTCATCATCGCAGTAGTAGTAGCAGTCGTGGCAGCAGCTGCAGCAGCAGCAGGAGGAGGAGAAGGAGGAGGAGGAGTAGTAGTAGTAGTAGTAGTGCTAGTAATTAGTAGCAGAAGCAGCGCCAGCAGCAATAGCAGCAGCAGCAGCAGCAGCCGCCGCAGCAGCATTGAGAGCAGCAGCAGCAGCAGCAGCAGCTTTACGGTGGCGATGGTAGCAATGGTTTCGCATTCGCAACAATGATGACAATAAGGGTAAGAGCATTTGAAGTGACGCTGGTCAAAGTAACCGTTATTCATTGCAAAGGAAAGCTCACTGTATAATCATCCTACGAAGAACGAACCAAAAACTATAGCAACGACGAGGCAATAGTCATAATCAGAATCATCATCAAGCTGAGGATATTCTCATTGGCATTGGTAGAAAGGGTCCATGCCCTGAGCCTCAAGCAGGTTGACGTTCCCGACGACATGCGGGTGTCCACCTTCTGCGACCTACCGGCATGCCGCAGTAACGATAACGACAGTGAAAGGGGTAGTAACAGGGTTATGTTAATAGCAAGCGTATAGTCAAACAGCAGTAGTACCAACTTATATAAGTAGATATGAGCTGAATGGCTGATTAGTTGACGTTTTCGACAGGAGGGCTCATCAGCCAACTTGCCACTGCATCAAGAGCGTTTTGTTTGCGGAGGGTTGCGAAAGAGTTTGAGCAATTAGAATGCATCGTGCGTCGCGCACACGAGGCTAGAGTATGGAGGACCAGGCACTCTCAAACAGCCGTTTCTGCACCGTCCCCGATGCCTCACAGCACCATCCGGCTCGAAGGCAAATGTCATTAAATTGAACTCCTGCCTGAACCTCATGATAGCCTTCCGGCCTGCTGCTAAGAGCATTGACAGTTGAGTGCCACAAGCCTTCTGCAACAAAAGTTCATCCAGTCTGAAGATTGAGTGACCGAGCAAGCAGAGAATCCCCCTGTGCAGTCGCACGCCAAGCGTCCTCAAAGACGCCCAGACATACAGCCAATCGCTTCGCTGGGTTTCATGTCCAAGATGTTCGTACTTAGGAGCAGTGGGGCGTTTCTTTGTTCCTCTGGAGATGGCTTCTCCGGACTTGTCCCGTTCAGAGTGTGGCACAAAAGTCCCCGATCACCAACCCCAAGGTGATCGCTTTCAGCTGACTCTTCGCAGCGACTGGACTGTTGGCGGCCAAACCTATGCGCCTTGTTATTAAGGTTGCCATACGAGTTACAAGTAGGGGCTACAACTCTGATTACTGTTTACTGTATGGGGCTATACCAAGGTTCCTGCAAGAGCTTTTTGAGGAGGTCAGGGCTAGTTAGCGTGGTCCCGCCTTCTTCCCCAAGCAATACCGGGTCTGGAGTAATCCTCGTCCTGCCATCGGAATGCTTATTTCTCTCGCAGCTGTCCCAAAGACATGGGAAGCGAATTTCTGGTTGAATTCAGTATGTAGGGTTTAGGGGTTTGGTTCGGGTTTAGGGTCCGCAAGCCGAAAGCTCAAAAACTTCAACCTTACCAAACAATAAGCTGAAGATGGTTCTACTTCTGTGACACTGTCGCATTCCTGTGCCCACATGGCTTCGGCGTGATGGTTCGTAAGGGACACATAGGAGCCCTCCAATGACGGCCAAGGCCAAGCTGCAGGCTCAGACCATAGAGGCAGTCCCACATGGGTGTCCTTACAAAAATACGACACCTATTGTTTAGGGTACCCAAAGAGGGACCTTAAGTTTGACAGCCACCCACATCCTGAAGCTCCCCAAAGCTGAAACCTCCAGAAGGTGCAGGGATCGCTGCTCTCCATTCCCATTGACAGCCTTTTTGCTGGCGACATGTCGAAGCTGGAAGCTGCTTCGCTGAAGCTACCAAGCGTTGCAAGGCTGAGGGGTTTCATGAGGGTTTTGGGCTTTAGGGTTTAGGGTTGAGAGGTGGAAGGAAAAGGAGTGTGTATCATGCTTGCGTTGTCCATCATCGATCATCATTGCATCCCTAAGCACCCGGGAATTTAAGGGCCCTGGAGAGGGAAACCCTGGCCTCCTCGGACTATCGATTTGGGTTGAACTCTAGATTTTAATCCCTGGACCCTGAATTCCCACAAACAAATGGCTACCATAGGATGACTATAATGGTACTATAACATTACTAATTGAAAGATTACTGTAGGATTATACTAGTAAGCCCTTACATCCTTGAAGTGAGATGGAGTCCCCCGAGGCCAGGCCTCACAAGCCCCAAGTGGGCCGGTTGATAAGGGAGTTTCCGAAAATTTCTGGTACCTTATTTTGGGGGTCCTTATAATATAGGGATCCTATTATTTAGGGTGCTATGTTTTGGGGTCCCGTATTTTCGGAAACTCCCATAAGCATCTTTGTTAACACGGGGCGCTGAAGGTTACGGTGTAGGGTGAGTCTGAGTCTTGTAGCACAATTGGTGGGTTTGGAAAAATGCGCTTTGATATAGTAGCCAGAAAAATCAAAAATACCATTCCTGAGGGTTCCTGCATACACCTATCTGATAGTTTAATATGAACTAAAGCCCTTCTACTTGGAAAGGCCCGTGTACGTTTGCCTTTTTTCAACCCAAGAGCATAGTGTAATGGTTAAGCTAAGTCCACTCTACTCACCCTCTTTACAGGAACCCTCAGTAAGTCCTGTGTTTATAGTTATACTAGAGTATATAACCCAAGACCCTGGTCTAATTGTTATGTTCCCTATATTCAACCTGTATGTCGACCTCATAGTGAGGCCCGTTCATGTCCTCGCTGCTTCAGGTTCTCTTTGCGCCTAGCGAATCAGAGTCCCTAGAAGACACGACGGGCACCAGGAACTATCTCATTCTTTCCGTGCCTCTGCTGCGGGGTTTAGGGGTGCAGGGTCTTGGGTTGAGGGGCGCTTTCGTATTGACGCTGATTTTGGCCTCAGGATATCCCAAAATGTGGGGTCGCGGCAGCTTCAGGGTGACCGGAGTAGTTCTGACTTCGGGGTGCTGATGAATTTGAGGTATTCTTCCGATTGTTAGACACAGGTGCTACATGCAGCACAATGACCATCTCAGAAAGTACTAGTATGGCTCCTGCTGGAAAACGCAACCCTGCAGCAAACTCGAGATGAACACATGCCAAGCCCTCTTGGATGGCTGAACAAAGCAAGACCAAGGCAGAGGTTCCCATATTGAGCGTTCAGGACCTAAACCCTAAACCCTAAACCCTAAAATCCCGCTTAACCGGCTGGAAAAGAGCCCTCAAAAAAACTAGAAGACAATTGGCCCGAAAGCATCATCAGCGAAGAGTGTGGGGCTATGTGATAGATCCAGTGTATAGGATCGTAAAGTCACAGAATCAAGAGTCATAGAGTCCATGAGTCATGAGTCATAAAGTCATAGAGTTGCAGTGAGATAGCGTCATAGAGTCGTAGTGAGATAGAGTCAGTGTATAGGATCGTAAAGTCACAGAATCAAGAGTCATAGAGTCCATGGGTCATGAGTCATAAAGTCATAGAGTTGTAGTGAGATAGAGTCACGGAGTCGTGGAGTCATCTTTGTACCATACACTTGACTCGATGTAGTTCACTCTATGCCCTGTGTGTGGGAACGCTTAATCAAGATCCGCCTAGCGTGAGGGCTCAGAGCCTGACTCAACAGGTCAAGTGGCAACTTGTCAGAGGGATTGGCAAATGCATAATATATGGATACTATACATATAAATATATATATATATATATTATATATATATATATGGAAATGTGCCTGGCCAAGAACTGGCCACTCGTCCTCGGCATTCCTGCCTCTCAAGTTATGAAGGGTGGAACGCCTCACATCGTCCTCATTGTACCAGCGGAAACACCAGCTGCAGAAAATGGCGTTATTGCAAGAAGCTTCACTGACTTCACAATAATAGAGCTGCGAATGAGGACAGAGTCACAGGTGACTGACTGGTCTCTGATCAGCCATGGCACATCTTAAAATCTTCCTGAAGACTTGGCTTTTTTTACACACACGCACATTCTTCTCGTGGCGGCGTCGTTGCTTGCTTGCTCTTTCGCAAGACAGCGTCGAAGCAAGCAAGCAACGTCCCAAAGACCGGCATCGGAGAGGCGGCCTGAGGAGGTGCCGGGAGAGGTCATCCCAGGGATTACGGTGGTCCGGAGCCTCGTGAAAATGGCTGATTGTAGTTGCAAAGGTTCGTCGGGAGCCCCGAGCCTCCATAGCACGCATTATACCAAGCCAGGGTATAGGGGTATAGTATCATGGAAGAAGAAACATAGCGGCAGCTGACAAACATCCCCAAACGGAAGCCGCAACACTGGTCTCTGAAAGGAGTCGGGAATTAGGGTTTCGCTCTTCATCTCAAACCACAAAAGGCCAGCGTATGTTACTTAGCCGATTCAACAGACTCCAGGGGAACGCCAGGGGCTTATGGGTCCTTAGGCCTAGTAGTAGGACTAATGCAGGGATCATGGTGGTCCAGAGCCTCCTCCAGAAAGATTGGTTCTAGCTGCAGACATTCATCGAGAGCCCCAGGCTTCGGTGACACCCTGTGTATCACTTCTGCAACCGCGAATCCATGGGATGGAAGAAGGCGTCCACGCCGGCCCTTTCGCAAGACAGCGTCGAGGCAAGCAAAACACTGTCCCAAGTATGTTCAAATGCAAAAGTGTCTGCACCGACCCTTTCGCAAGACAGCGTCGAGGCGGGCAAACAACTGTCCTAAGTATGGTCAGCTGAGAAGATGAGAATAAGCTGAGAATAATCTCCACACCGGCCCTTTCGCAAGACAGCGTCAAGGCAGGCAAGGAAGCGTACTAGGTGTAGTAAGATGCTGCAATGTGTGCAAAATACTGCAACGCGTTTTCCCTTTCTTCCCTTTCTTCTGCCTTTCGAGCCAAACGAGGCAGGCAAACGTGCAAGGAGAAAGCCTTTACAGAGCAGCAAGAAACTCCGAGCCTGCAGAAGTCATCGGCCAGGCAGCCTGCGAGTCGAACGTGTGCAAGGAGAAAGCCTCTACAAAGCAGGAGGAAGCTCCGAGCCTGCAGGTCATCGACCAGGCAGCCTGCGAGTCAAACGTGTGCAAGGAGAAAGCCTCTACAAAGCAGGAAGAAGCTCCGAGCCTGCAGGTCATCGACCAGGCAGCCTGCGAGTCAAACGTGTGCAAGGAGAAAGCCTCTACAAAGCAGGAAGAAGCTCCGAGCCTGCAGGTCATCGGCCAGGCAGCGGCGCGTTGCGCCGTCGCAAGACAGCGTACGCGCCGTACAGGCGCATGAATATATGTCTATCTATCTATCTATCTATATATCTATTATCTATCTATCTATCTATCTATATATGGATAGATAGAAAGATAGATAGATATATATATATATATATGTGCGTATATTATCGATATATGCATCTGCCAATCCCTCTGAAGGGTTGCCAATTGCACCTCGCAGAGATGCAAGTTCCTGCAATCGACCACGCCACTCCCTGTGGAGAGTTGCACGGCGGAAAGGATACAAGTAGTAGTTTGCACACACGTTTCAACCCTGGACCACGCCAATCCATGCAGAGGGTTACACGCAGCGCCCAAAGACCATGCAACAGTACCTGCACACCTTCCGATTAGAACATTCGAGGAAGCTAATCCCTCTCAATGAAGGATTGCGCGGGGCACCGCAAAATGTGTAACTTTACCTTGCGTTCGACCACTCGACCACGCCAATCCCTGTGAGGGGTTGCAAAATTCATTTCAATGCTCATCAAAAATTGCAACTTTACCTCGCGTTCGAACACTCCACCACGCCAATCCCTGTGAAGGGTTGCAAAATTCATCTCAATGCTCATCAAAAATTGCAACTTTACCTCGCGTTCAACCACTCGACCACGCCAATCCCTGTGAGGGGTTGCAAAATTCATCTCAATGCTCATCAAAAATTGCAACTTTACCTCGCGTTCGAACACTCCACCACGCCAATCCTTGTGAAGGGTTGCAAAATTCATCTCAATGCTCATCAAAAATTGCAACTTTACCTCGCGTTCGAACACTCCACCACGCCAATCCTTGTGAAGGGTTGCAAAATTCATTTCAATGCAAATCAAAAAATGCAACTTTACCTCGCGTTCGAACACCCGACCACGCCAATCCCTGTGAAGGGTTGCAAAATGCAAATCCCTGTGAAGGGTTGCAAAAAAAATTGAACTGCACCCAAACCCTGTGAAGGGTTGCGCGGCGCCCGCAA